CCCCAAAACCCCAAAACCCCAAAACCCCAAAACCCCATATAAGAAAATTATCGTGGAGGTAATATAATTAATAGAAATGGAAAATATTATGATAGCAAAGAGATCGACCAAAATTTCTGGAATTAGGAACATTTTGAGATCTATAGCCAAAGAAGAAGTATCTCAAAAGGCTGATTTTAAAGTGACCTACATTCCAATGACCACGAAGGCTAAGGTTATCAGATGTGAAAGAAAGGCGTCAGATATCAGCACAGAGGCTGAGGACTAACTCTCTGACTCTTACACCAATTATTCAATAACTAATTTCTAACTAATATCTTCTAAACTAACCGACTGTTAAATTGGAGCTTTTCTAGAAATTTCAGGATAAACCATATATTTTTAATAATCATCGCTGAGCTTTGTCCAAGAAACCCCACCGCTATTAAGAGGTTTTAATTAAGACAATTTGTCAGTAGAGTCAATAGCCATGGCTATAGGTTCTAAAGTTACATTAGTCTCAATTCACCGACATATGTAAATATTTAGGAATGTGTCGACAATGATCATTACCGGATTTTAAGATACTGAACATTCATTCTCTTCTTCATATTAGCTAAGAATAATCTGAATGAATAAAAATGGGATAAATTACTCAATCAAACCCAAGCCTGTGACCTCATCTTTCAGCTTTCCTTCCATAAAATTTTCCGTACAATAAATCACAGGCATACTAGAAGAAATAAAAGTACCAACAATTCCGGATTAAATTCTCCAAATTATCCGAACCTAGCATAATCTAACCTTCCTCATCTCTCCTAGACCTTCTAGCTTACTGTAAACCGCACTAATTTCCATTTTAGGCATAATTTTCCTCTCCAAATTTCTACCAAACGCTGAAATCTCTACTCAAAATCCCCTCTCATTCGGTTCTATTGGCCATTATCCATTCTTGGCCTAAAGATAAATTCAAGTTTACTACTTATTTTATGTGAAAGAAGCAATCTCATGGATATGGCTAGCTAGCCAGCACAGGAACATTTGAGAAATTTGGGTACGAAAGCAGCGAAAATTCATACTTTTGGTGGATGCTACCACATGAGTTTATTAGATTATGAGCATAAGCCATTTCTTCAGGTTGTTTTTGATTATTATTTGGGGCCTATAATATAGCCAGATTATACAAGCAAGTGAACAAGTTCTTGGTTACTGTATCTACTGACCTCACTCAGTTTTGATAATTCGGGAAATTCTAATTATTACATCTATCCGTGCAAAGTTATTTAAGTATTACCAGTGTTTATATTTCTATGCACTAAAATTTCAAACAATATTTACCTTTGAACTAGACCTCTCTGTAGGCATATGAATCCTCAAAAAGTATACTTGTTCTTACATTCTTCTCAGTACCATTAATTTTTTTGAAAAAATCAGCTGAAATAAATCCAAGTTGATTGTATATAGTAGCTCAAGTTATTACTCCTCAAGACATAAGTCATCTTATTTTTATACTGAGACATCAGCATCATGAAAGCAGCCAGATATTCTTAGAGCTGGTCTTCTCAGCTAAATCATTAATATGAGCCAATTTCTCTACACCTAGACTCTTCATGGACCTCTCTTGATCCATCCCCAAGAAGAAAATACAAAGTCAGTGATCTCTAAGGCCTCAAGAGGAGCCTCATCAAGTGCAAGAGACCAACAAGATCATTGTACTGTACAAATTATGAATTCAGAGATAAGGCTAGGGGCCAAACAGGTGTTCAAAGAAGATGGCTAAAAGAATTTAGGCTGTAGAACTAGTGAGCTAGTAGGAAATGAAGTAACTTGGGAAAGGGGGGAGATAGGTGAGGATGTTGGTCCTAATTGACAGTTTATATTAAAGAATCACTCCCAATGTTGTTAGAGGGATGATTATTGATGGGATTAAGTAATCATTTGGTATATATAACTTTCCAATACCTGATCAGAGGTTAGAGGAAATCTGATACTAAATTTCCATTCAGGCCTAACCTATAACAAATTACTAAACTAGTGTGAGCTCTTTTAAACCTAGTAGAGATTTATTTACAGAGTCTGCCAGCCTCTGCTTCACCATGATGAATTACAATTTGGCTATTTAAATAATTCTCTTTTATTATCCAAACTTTCATAAAGAGTCATTTATTGCCTAAATTATTACTGAGTGTTTCAGGAAATAGTATTGCTAGGCATACTTGAGCTTTGTAGCATAATTAATGATTTTGAATCTTAAAACTCTGTCTTTAGAATAAAGTTTTGAATTTTCGGTTTGAAGAGGATCACAAAGTCTTTTATCTCAGGCTTGAAATAGGTTTATAGCAAGGTAATGTTTTTTCTATAGTTCAAATCTCATGAATTCTTCTTCCAAACAGATTCTTGATATTTAGCTCATAATACAGACTAAGATTGTAGAATTTTGAAGGCTTTTGAACTCATAAAAATGATGATATTAGTTATTATGACTAGTTATGCTTTATTTTATGGACTATATGGAGGCTAGACTAGAGTAAATTACTCCGTCACTTATAAATACAGGGAGTTCTTAATCACATTGCATGAAAGTTCCAGATTTTATATCTGACAAATATTCTTACTTATTTAGTAACTTACTGTATTAAATATTTCTTCAAAATTACTAATAACAGATTTACATATCAGTATTGTGGAAAGAAGAAGATTTTTGGGAAAAATTTATTATTAGTGCAAGATAAAATATTAGGCAAGATTAGTAATAGAGCTAGTTTATAGGACTCAATAAAAAACAATCAAGCTCTTCACTCTTGAACACAACCTTCTCATCATGTTGCTAAGAGATGATCTAATACGAAGAGTTCAATAACATAAATTCCTTAAGTATAAATTTATCAAAGACTTGCCCAAATATTAATCAAGCCAGAGAAAAAGAGTGCTACAGCTATACTATCTAACAGTCGAAAGAGGCTATATAAAAGCCTTGTCAGATACTATTTTTCTTTGTTCTAAAGTTATCCTCACCAATCCAGCAGAAAGAGAATACTGTTAATAAGAATGTTATGGAAATGAAAAATAACTATGATAGATTTTGGGACATTTATGTCCAATAATAGGCAATCATTGCTAAGATCTGACTTTGACTTTTAAAACAAGCTACTTTGTGGACAATGACTGGTGATAGCCATCTTTGCTCTCTAAAATGGTGAAGATACATTTCTATTATTAGAGTTCTATAGAGCCATAATTTGATTTTTTGCCAAAAAATACGGAAATTAAATAACCTTTTCAAATTGTTAGAAAAAACAGGGGTTTTGGGGTTTTGGGGTTTTGGGGTTTTGGGGTTTTGGGG